TTTCATTTAGAAGTTTATTATTTATTTTTCAATATATTATGATTAGTATTGCTCTCGTAAGTGTTAGGTGAATTAAATTTTATTAACTTAGGAGTTATAAGGTCAACATAAATCAGTAATATTGTTAACAAATAGAATTAAATTTTTACCAGATCAAAAAATGAAGCTAATTCGAGGTCACGATCGAAATCTCGTTCGAAGTCGCCAAGCGATGATCAAAAGACGTAAGTTCAAGCTCTTAAACTCTGGGTGCATACATATACATATAAGCATGTAAGGCAATTGTCCGTCGCTAATTTCTTCCTCACAAAGTTTGTGATGTCTTACATATCCTAACAGGCTTATAATACTGTAATAACTCTTAATTATATTGACTATGAGAAAATGACTAAAGTAAAAAATAATTGTTTTTTTTTTTTCATGTAATGAATTTTTTTAATTAATTCGCCAGTCATTATAATTGTGGATATATGTATAAGCTGTATTCAATTCATTCTTGTTCTCAGAGTTTTAGAGAATAAACATTATTTTTAATTACAATTGCTTAATCATTAAGGTTCGGTATTTTTGTTTTATCAGTGAAACGTAATTAATTGTTAATTATAGCTATTGTATTGGTTTTTATTTATTATGCTTTGTTTAGTGGAAAGGGGTTTTGCTATTGAGGTAAAGGTGATTTAAAAAAGCATTACTAATTGTTTTGTTTAGGAATGGCTCCAGATCCAGATCGGTCAGCAAAGATAGAAAGAGCAAATCGCACAGTAGATCACCTGCAAAAGTCAACTCTGACAAAAATAATTAGATTATTTACTCTGAATATAATGAAGTTTTGTTCCAACGATTATTTCTTACATTTAAAATGAAAATTAATTTCTGCTATACTACTATATTTAAGCATTTTATCAAATTAAGTGACTCTGGTGGAATACAGTGTATTTGTTTAATAATATAACAAATATTTTGATCCTAATTCATGAGTGTCAAATTTGTGTGGAAAAAAAAATTAAACTCAATAAGTAATGTAGATATAAATAGCGGTTAGTTTCCGTAGATGTTACGAATAAGGTATTTTAAGTAATGATTAGTTTTTCGAAATTGATTTGTTTAGCGTGGACCAGAGGTTTTGCAGATAGAGGCTGGTTTTTGGGTCCAGTTAGTCAGCATATTCTACAATTACTTCTACATTGTATCGGCAACTGCCTATTCCCTTGAAAGGGTTGGCTACATTTGTCTAACATATAAAACATTTATTTTGTATTTACAATGTATACAGTTTTCATTGGTGTTTTACAGAACTAAATTTACTATCATTCTTTTTGTAATATAATTATTATACATATAGTGACATTTTATTTCGGTTTTGTTTAGCAAAGTGGGCAAAACTGAAAACACTTATATGCCAACCCTTTTTTCGCAAGCTAATTACTGTAACTGTAATGTGCTTATTTTTCTTTTCAAGCATGAACTAAGTTTAGTCGTTCGTTCTTCTTCACTTGTAAGAATATCAATGAATGTGAGGACTTAAGATTATATACCTAATCTTGTTTTATTCTTATTGCTATTATTATAAGCTCAGTATTTTTATTATGTTTATAACGCTTCTGTGGCGATTTTGTAATACATTTTTTTTTTTAGTTTGGAACATTTTAAAATTATAACCTTTTCATTATAATCGTTTAATTTTCTTTGTATAAGTTTATGTATTCCAGTTATTGTTCCTTTTTTGTCATTTTGAGAGTAATAAATATTGTATGTAAACTTCTCCTCGATTGATAACCAAAAGCCAACATCATTTAGTCATTGTAAAACGAAAATACTCGCTTAGCTTAATTTTACTAGATGAATTGAGTGAACTTAACTTATATAAATTCTATAAATAAAAACTAAACATGCAAGGTGATGACTTCTTATATGATATATACTGATGATTTGAAGATCTACACCAACTATCTGTAAGATTTTGGATTTACAAGTAGTTTACGAAAACTTAAAAGCAAACCGTCATATTTTTTACATATTCTAAAAATTGTGTACGTAACAAACTCTGCCGATAAAACGGGAAATCACAAACACGTGTTGTAAATGAAATCCCTTATTATTGCAAATACAATGGTCATTTATTATTACTAAAACTTTACAATTGCAGATTGAAGTCAGATCACAGACAATAAATTGTTTAAATAAAGCATATATGAAAGATGCATAATTTGTTCTGTTTTTGGAATGCAAGAAATAAATAGTTTGATTGCATATGGAATTGTTTAAAATGCCACGTACCCTTTTCGTAAACTCGTACATTTTGATTAACAATCGGTGTCAACGTTTGAGAAAATATACAATTTTTAGCAGTTACTATTAATCTACACATTTAAACAACTAATTTATAAAAACAACGAAAATTTAACAAACTACTCTTAAATCAAGCTGTTCCTAACACATATAAACTACTAAAACGTGCTATTAATAATTGCTTTAATATAAATAAGTATCTATGTATTAAAACCTTATGCGTTCGATATCACAATGTAAAAATTGTACTATTAAAACACCTTAGCTGTATTTACAGCCACCCTACCGTACTTTGTAGTTAACAAATGGAATCTACATAAATAATACAACAAATATTAGCAAATAAAACAATTTAAAGCGTAATAGTAATTTTTAAGTATTTCAGGTTTTGTGGCACCTTTAATTGACTAGAGGAATTATTATTTATCTAACGTATTTAATGACAATTAACTTTTTTATATTTACATGTTAAAGAACTAATCTTCTAAAGCATAACCCTATTATTTGTTTAGCAATCGTATTAACAAAATCAATTTTTATAAGTTACCTAAAAATATTTTGAAAATGCACATACAACTAATCTAACTATTCTATTGTATTGCAGATTTTTAATTTGGTAGCGGTTCATAATTTTTTGTCTTGAAATGAAATATTAATTCATTAGGAAAAATATCTAATAGTTTGCAATCCCAACTATTGATAAATCACACCTGTATTTATGTTCATCAGTTGGTCCACTTAGTACGGAAAATACATAAAATAGTTTTAATGAAAAGGCAAGCTTACTATTTTTGTGGAAGCGCTACATATTGAACGGCAAACAGTTGATAAATATTGAATAAAGTATTCTCGCAATATATAGAAAATGCAGTCATATATTTTTATCTATTTTAGTTTAAATTTAAATATTAAGCTATGTTCTTATGGCACTTGAAATGTGTTATTAGAGATATCACTTTAGTTAGAAAAAATGACAGATAAGAAGAGGATCATTTATGTGATACGTTTTAATTATAGGGTTGTAATTATTCAAGATATGTGACTGTATCTGCTGACTTTTTGCAAAATAATTATTAAATGCTTAAGTAGTTGTACATACGTACATATAAAAGTACAAAATTTGTAAATGGGCAAGTTCTGTTAATATTTAAAGAAATTTGAAAATAAATGCTGGAATTGTTGCTTAAACAGTTCGTATAAATTACATTTAAAAACTGACAAACTGTCTAGATTATTTAACACTTGCAAGCCAATTCCAGACAGAATTAAAAAGGCAGAGCACAAAAATACGCTAAATATTATTGCTAAAAGTATTATTCTTTTCTTTAGTTTCTTTTGTTTATGCTTTTGGCTAGAAGTTGATTCAGTTGAATTGGTTTGAATGATATTAGACAAAAGCATATGAGATCCAGTTCGCGGGTGAAATTGTAACGCTTGATTGTAGTTACACCTATGTGAGTAACTTGAATCCAAACTTCTATAGTTACTACTTTCATGTAATTGAGATTCAGAAGACGAGTGATCAAATGAATCACGAAAGTTATATTCGCTAAACTGTTCCAATGAATTCTTCAAAGCTGGTAAAAATGAAATTAGTATTAAAATATTACAAAATGTTAAATAAAACATTAATGTACCACCTGACGATTCATGATCCTCGCTCACTGTTTGAAGTCCTGCGACATCGCCACAACTGTGCGTAGAAGAACCATCTAATGTTACATAAAGTCCAAGGTTACTACTAGGTTCTGCCATAAAGCCTCCCCCATCGGAATGACTAGAGCAGGGGACTGTATTGTATCCTTTAAAAAAAAAACATATTTTTAGATTCATTAAAACTGCGGCAGTAACTACTGCTGTACAGTCTAAGCACTTTACTGACTACTCTACATAATGTATATGTATATATATTTATATAATAAGTTGTATGTGATTATAAAAATAGTGCTGTATAGAACATGCTGTGATTAGACCATACAATAGCAGATATTGAAATTTTGGAAAATTGGTTTTTGAAGTACTGAATGTATAATGTATAACTACATATGTATATGATAAACACCTAAGTGAGGCTGTAATGGCGTGGATGGTGTAGCAGGCACACTTGCAGCTTTCCTACTTATACTAGATGTGCGCTGAACTTTAGGTTCCTTACGTTCCAATGGATTAGCGTCCTCTAAAATTTCTCGTTCAGTTCTACCAGTGTATTTGAACTTCGTCCCCCACGAAAAAAAGCCGCCACCTATTACAACTGGTGGAGCATCTGAACTGCATGGCAGCCTAAGAATTATATTATGTAACAAAAATATACAAGATGTTACCACTACTTACGTGAAAAACAGCATTTGCTCTATTGCACATCTCCAAACATATTTACAAGATGCCCCAGTGGCACATTTGAAACCGATTGTATGTTTTTTCTAAAAGATAATTCAATTAGTTAACTTTTCATTGGTACTATTAACAATTTACTTCATTATAATTAAGGTGAATTATGAACATTTTTCCTTCATAATTAATTTTTTGAATGTCAGGCCAACGAAAGTGATGGGTCTTTCTACTTCCTTGAAATGTTAAAATACCACTGTAATTAATACCCAAGTACAGTTGAGTACCTTTGTGATCCTAAAACACCTTTAATATAATAATTTTCAAATATGTATACACATTTCTTCTTAATACCTTTGCTGGATGTGGATCAACACCATATGTATCTAACTGTGACGCAATTTTGAGAAATTTATTTTCAACTTGAGAGGGACTTTGTCCTTTTAAATCTCTTTTATGGATTTCCATTATTTTTTCTTCATTTTGTTCAGTTTGTTTTAACAAAATTCGAAAACTTGAGACATAGTTACCTACATGAACTTCAGGATCATAGTCGCCTAACTCACCTGTAATTAACTCATTAAATTAAACGTGACTATTTAATAATTAATGTAAAAAACAAACCTTGAATTATTAAAGCAGCTAGCATAATCGATTCATTAGGAGAACATAATCTACCATGTAACAAATCACGTTTTAGCTGCATGAAGATTTGATAACGTGTTATTTCTTCTTTTAATTTGAATGGATCAGGGGGGTAAAATTTGACTCTAAAGCTAAACAAAACTTCCTGCATGTCCTTAACTTGTTTAGTAATCGATTTACCCAAGTCCAGCCAATGCTATAAATGTATGCATTTGTTACACTTATTTTTTATGTTACTAATATTACTGACTCTTTGCTGTGAAGAATCAACATATCTTAATCCAAAATAGTCTTGTTCTGCAATGTTCAGTTGCTGACAAACATACTCCAGCAAATGTTTTCCTTTTTGGTTTGGCTATGTGTTAAGTAAGTTAGCTGTATTTAAAGTTTAATATAACATATTTACCTTATATTCACATTCTAGAATTTCTGTGTCTTCTAATAAACGCACCGTGCATTTAAAGACTACATTGCTGTCTCCTTTTGATCCAAACTTCAACATTTTAAAACTTTAAAATTTGCACATTTTGACCACTTTAACTACAATTTAAAATAGATATACTTGATGAAACGAAAATACTTAAATATATCATAATAAAATTAATATTCGTATACATTTTTTATAAAATGTTTAAGGTCGAAGGGAAATTGATAAAATAGTGACAGTTTATATGGAGGTTATGTAACAGTAAGATCGTAAAAATAAAAATCATAGACAAATAAATTGAATAATAATAAAACAAAACAGAATACAAAACAGGATAATGGGTGATGAGACTAATAAAAAAAAGTAAATATCAAAATATAATAAATATATGTAGATAACATGATAGAATATAGTTTCTGACCGTAGTAATTTTATTTTGGAATAGTATTCGTTAATTCAGGGCTATATTTAATTAAACAATGATAGGTACATTTATAAAAGCCTTAGTTCATAAAATATTACAGAATTAAAGTTATACTATCTATAAATAATAATTTGTCATTTAGAATGAATTCATAATTCAAAAGAATAAATATGGATGTAATATTTCTTAATGGTAATTACGCATAGGTATGTTATGCAACATTCATGCAACGGTGCATGAATGTTTATCTAACGAAAGTGTAAGGAAGTATTTTTTCTTTAAGTATTATTTTAAATTAAAGTAAAAACAATTTTTCTGCTTAATCGATAATATATTTATGATTTTATTGATGTAAGTACTATATTTATTAACTGTATTTAAATGAAATGGATCTTTTCGTCGCGTTTACTCATAATTTGAACATTTTTAACTTAATTATTAGAAAAATATAGCTATACACAGGATATACACAGATATTAAAAAACAGACAATTATGATAAATTATATTTTATAAATTTAATATCTATGGTGTTTATCATTTTGTTTATCTTATCACTGAAGTATTATTATAACGTTTCTGTTGTTTTTATTTTTAACGATGTTACTTTTATATCATGAAAAACTGGAAAGATGCCCATTAACAAAATGTAACAATAAAAAATTTGTTGTATGTCGCTCATGATATGAATCGCATATGTAAAAATGTAATATATACAAGGCTTTTGTAACCGGCTTTTTAAATGATGTTTTTTTTAGGCTAAAAGGAGCATTCTGTAATAAACGATGGATATTTATAAATCCTCAAAAGAAAATTTATTAAAACAAAGGAAAAAAGCTTTGGATAATAATAAAGCGACTATGTCTATGACTGATTCTGTAAGGAATTAAATATTGAATGTTTCTTTTTATATATATTACTGTTGGTAATTTTATGTAACTTTGTACCAGTGCTTTTTTTTGTATTTTAGGATATAGAGTTGTTTTCTTTAGATGACTCAAAGTTACTTCCAAAACAAAACTTAAAGGAATCTTCAGTAGACCAACCAGAAAGTGATTCTGAAACATTATGGGCCACTTCTGTTCAAATGTTTATACCATTTCTTCTGTCTGGCTTTGGAATGGTTGCTGCTAGTTTACTTTTAGATGTGGTTCAGCACTGGCCTGTGTATCAAAAAGTCTCAGAAGTTTACATATTAGTACCTGCATTACTAGGTCTTAAAGGAAATTTGGAAATGACATTAGCATCTCGTCTCTCCACACATGCAAATTTAGGCCATTTGGATTCCAGTAGACAACAATGGAACCTTACAGTATCAAATCTTGCATTAATTCAGTGTCAGGCTATAATAGTAGGTTTTCTTGCCTCTTTAGCAGCGGTAATTTTGGGTTGGGTACCATCAGGGCAATTTGATATCAATCATGCTCTTTTACTATGTGCTAGTAGTGTTGCTACAGCATCTGGAGCAAGTTTGCTATTAGGTGTAATTATGATAGGAGTAATTATTTTATCTCGTCGATTTAGGATAAATCCAGACAACATTGCAACCCCTATTGCTGCAAGTTTAGGAGATTTAACCACATTAGCCTGTCTTTCATGGTTAGCTTCTCTTTTATATAAATCAATGCATTCTTCATTGTCTATTGCAATTATTGCAGTAGCAATTACTTTAGTTCCTTTGTCTGCTTGGTATGCTAGCAAAAATAAGTATACTATGGAAGTTTTAGAAAATGGCTGGGTACCTGTTGTTTCTGCCATGCTAATTAGTAGTGTAGGTGGCTTAGTTTTAGATTACACAGTATCTCAATACAAAGGTGTTGCTGTATTTCAACTAGTCATTAATGGAGTTGGAGGAAATCTAGTTGCTGTGCAAGCTAGTCGAATTTCCACACAACTCCATAGTTTGTCTCATTTGGGTCAACTTCCTCCTTCAACTAAAGTATGTCTTGGTCCTTGTAATGTTTTCTGTGATAATAGTGAAACAAATCATTCAACAACTGCACGCATGCTAATGGCTATGGTGATTCCCGGTCATTTGACATTTTCCTACACTATTAGTTACTTACAGGCCGGTCACACATCTTTTACTCCATTATTTTTAGCAATTTATTTATCCGCGGCTTTAATACAGGTATTTTTATTGTTATATATTGCCCAAGTTATGATATTGTGGATGTGGAAAATGGGAATTGATCCTGATAATTCCGCAATACCATATCTTACTGCTATTGGGGACTTATTGGGAACTTTTCTATTAGGAGTCGCCTTTCAGTTGCTATTCCTAATTGGTGATAGAGATAGTGATTTGGGGGATTGAGCTTATCTGTAATCGGGGGTTTAAAACATTTTAGATGGGGGCCAGTTTGTTATCCTTATACATACCATACCAGTTATTTTTAGACCCAATAATTAAATCTTTTTATCTCTTATTACTAGTTAAATGTCTGTGACTTTTTAGATGATTTTACTTAATTTTTGATAAGGATCATATCAACTTTGGACGATATAAATTGATAAAAGTTGTAAATTATTGTAATAAATACTATGGTGCTACAGGCTGAAAAATAGTTGTGTATGTTTGTGATTTAAACATATGATTCATTTAAGTATGTGCTATATATTATTGTTTAGTATTTCACGTATTTCTAATTTCATTAAAAATTGTCAGTATTAAGATATTCTTACAAAATTCATTTTTTAGAATATTCAAAAAATGATTGTCCTGTATTGACTGACATTTTTAGTTATGATCATTATCATACGAAATATTATTTTTATCGCTGTACATTAATCTTTCTATATTATATCACACCATATATTATGTACAATAAACGTTTTGTTGTTAAAGCCGCGTTGGAAAATTAATGCGATTTAAAAAGGTACTCAAAGATTTTATAAGTACGCTAGTGTTTAAACTCGTGTCTCACTTTTATCATTCTTTTGCTTTCAAAGTAAATATTAATGACTAAATTATTATCATTATAAGTGCTATATGTGCTGATAAACTTATTGAACTAATTTAAAAACGAGATAAGTTTAAATAATTGCAAAGTTGAGGGCAAATTAAAAATACTTGGTTTTATTTCACTTTATTAAAAAAAGTGTATATACATAAACATCGTCAATAAATTTGCGAAACATGTTTCAAAATTACAAATAAAATTGACTCAA